ATTAGGCAAAAACAGGGTTGCAACACCAACCCCAATGTAGCACAATTTATTTGTGGCCTGAAGCACATCTGCATAAGAAAACTCTTCAAGCTGTCAGAATACGGAAACGTCGAGGATGATGAATGTGACCTCCTCCAGGAGCAGCTCTCGCCATTCTCCCTCACCACTGCGTCTCTTGTGGAAAATGAGGAGTGTGCACAGCCACAGCCTGACGACTTTCCCGCTCTAGACGATCTCTCTGAACTTGCGACAAACGTTCACTCCCATATTATCGATGACTCCGCTGCATATTATGTAGCTGCTTTTCTCATCAAACACTTCCTTCGGAATGCATGTGACGGTGGCAGTTGCCCACAGTTACTGAAAGACGACGGTGAGACGCTTAAGGGTACCCACCAGTATTTCACAATGCTCAAAGCATACCACGTCCCCAGCAAACTTTTTGGGAATCTCACTGTGCCATCAGAAGCAGCTTTTGCATACGTACAACAACTTGAATCTCACTTTCTTGCCATGATTGAGGCCACTGCACATCACCTGAAAGTGTGCGATGTTTTGTATCACCATCTGTCAAGTGTTGGCGATTTTCATTTGTGCTCTGCTGGGTGTCGCGCGAAGTTTCTGAAAATGTTTTGCCGGGTTCGTTTATGTTGGCATGTGCGTTTTGTGAACCGAAACTTAGATAGGGTTAGGTTCCAGTCTTCAATCTCAGGCATACAGCTTGACAAGTTCAAAGGTTAGCAATTAGCGGCGGGTTTACACTAAAGTATTCGAGTTGAGCCGAATCCTGCAATAGCTTTGTTATGTTATTACTTCGTTACAGCAGACTTCATTATGGTCTTATATGCTTATATTCAGCTCAACTGGACTAGCCACTCCTTCGTTGCATACATTGTTTAGGTTACCCGCTATGAGGAGTAGGGACACTGTGTATTCGCTCGAAGTGATTTGCATAACCTTAAAAAGAATGTTGAGTATCCTGTCTGTATTTTTGTAGCAAATGTGGGCGAACTGTACACTTTACTGTGGCTCGCTTGGTCACTGTATATGCTTTATCTCTCCAGCTCAAGTAATTTATCGATAACAAAACCGCTTGTTGAAATGTCTTCGAGCGGGTAAGGAACACAGTATGAAGTGGGCACGGTTCACGTTATCACGCTTTTCGTATTTTAGCTTCTCATCAACCTCCTCATCTCGCCCATCAAAATTTTCAAAAGAATACTCAAACTTGTGGCGTTTGATGGGGCTGCGGACGCTGCCATTTTATTTTTATATAGCTTGTGAGTGATAACGTACGATGTAGAGCCTTTGTGAAAAATAATGAGCCAAAGTGGTTTCCTTCTGCTATTTATTAGCCCTGTAATACCGCTCTCGTAGCACCAATTAAGGTCCACAATTCTGGATAAGTGATGACTACAACATATTTTAGCTCGCAAGCGTCACAGCAACACCCAGACGCAAATCGCTTGGGATCTTAAGTTTTTGATGAAGGCGACGCATAAGAAGAGCCGCAAGACCTGCCAGTGTTGTAGCATAAAGCTTGTCTTTCGCGTAGTGAGCAAGCTGCAAAGCCCTACCTTTCTGAGGACAAGCAGGCATCAAGTCTGCTTTTTTTCATTTTGGACTAGCTGTTCTTAAGCACAGCCAGCACACTGCACCTTTGCCTTTCTGCTATATTGTGTCGTGTGGTTTCTGTGTGCTCTATTTTTATATGCATTATTTCGGTTAACCCCAGGCGTGATTCGCGACTTCATTGCTGTGTATATGTCACTCCTTCCTTCTTCATCAGCATTGTGCGCTGTGTTTTTGCCATAGATCCTTACTTACCCACTGGCCCGGTGTGTCATACTTCACCAGCTTCTCGGCTTCTGCAAACTCTAGCGATGTGTGCGTTGTCTGTGTTCTCTCTGTATTTGTTACAATTTATTTGTAAGGCGAGATGCATTTGTTGTCTACCTTTGTCATATTGTGCTTTTTATATTCTCAGACTCTACCTTGCCTTTGAATAAAACATTACGGATACTCTGTCTCTTTGACTGATATATACATTGATCACTCGTTCCAAAAGAAAAACACAAGCGCGATGAATAAAACCGTAGTGAATTATCATTACCTGCATCTCTTTTTATTATAACTTAATCGAAATAAAAATTACGTCACCACCGATTCGCACGAACCACTGAACAAAACAAAACAGGGAATCGCTAAATCAAAACGACCTACAAAAACTATCCATTTGGGCGATGAAAAGTGGTATGAAATCATGAACTTTCGTCATAGCCAAACGTCGGTTACGCAAAGTAATTCAAAATTTGCGCCAGTGAAACCGAAACAGGAAGCGCACGCCACTTGCTCTCACCAACCACTAGGTGTGCTAGGGTCGATTGGGCCGCTGGGGCCTACGGGAGTGTCCACTCTTAACCTTTATTTCTCTATGGCATAGCCACGGAATGAATGATGGATAGTGGGGCGAAGCATCCGTCCGTCCATTCATTCTTGCTTCCGTCCATCCATGCGTGCGTCAGTGTGGCCGCCCGTGCGTCCATCCGCCCGTCCGTGCGTGCGTCGGTTCGTGCGTCTGGACGTTCATCTGTGCGTCCGTTCCTGCTTTCGTCCATGCATCCACCCCTGCGTCCGTCCATGCGTCCATTTGTGCGTGCAGTGAACCGTGCGTCCGTCCATGCATCTGTCTGTGTGTCCGTTCGTCCACCTATTCAACACTCCAAGTACCACCATCTCGCATATTTTCATCATATATTCCCCATATAAAAGCGCCACCACCAGCGGACATTCCAAGGACTGAACGAGAGGTGGCACACGCACACTTTCTTACGGCTGGCGCTTCGTGTCTACTTCCCACCTTTAACCACCTCGAGTTCATGGTATATACTAGTTCACTGTATTTATGGCACTGCGGCCCAACGCTCGCTAAATCTTTCTAAAACTGAGGAGGTTACACCCAGCGAGTATAATAACGTAGAAACCTTTGCTTGTCAGATAGTGCTCAATGTACATGCCAGTGGCTGCTAATGGGGATCGCAGCATGCGCGTTAACTAAAAGCCGAATGCTCCTGTCTCTCATTCCCCATTAGCAGCCATTGGTATGTACATTGAGCATTATTTTTTATTGTTCAACAATGCAGAGAGGAAATCTCCCACTGGCACTACTTTGGAGGTCAAAATGTAACAATCGTTACACACTACGACTACGAGGGACGAACGGGTACCCCTATAAGGAGCTTCGCCCCTAAAATTATTTGATTTTATTTGATTTGCTGCGGTGGTGCACAATTTGTTAAATAAAAAATAATCTGCGTTAGTTTTTGACAGATATTTCGCAAGTGTGACATGAATGAAATGAAAAATCTCTATCGCACAACAATGAAAGCCTACTGTCACGGACGGCTATTTTCGGCGACACCGCGTCACGGCAATTAACGGGCGCCGTACTCCCCGACTGACCGTGAGAAACGGCGGCACATGAAAGGGAACCGATAAGTGCAAAATGGGGGTGATCTCCTTAGAACGTCGCCGCCGACAGTTAATCCTTTTGTAACCGTGGCGACGTCTGCAAGGTCGTAGAAGGCCGCGGTATACCCCGTACAAGGATTAGACTACAAGACGCCCGGCTGAGAGCTAAGTGGTTGACCGTTCCCACGGAGAAAAGCGTGGGAAACGCCCTGGTGGCCAAGCCGTATGACAACAACCCGACAGGTTGTCACTCTCGCTAGTTGCGGGCCCTCTCCCAATTGAAAAGGGGTGGGGTCAAAATATTTTTGGGGCGGAGTTTCCCCTCAATTAAACGCGCATGATTGGACCCAGGTAGAGGTCTCTTGTCCCCAAGGAAGAGAGCGAGGAGACACGAGGGGGATTTAAGCGCAGGATTTTGCCCTGCTAGGCAGACTAGTCGCTGACCAAGATGGTGTAGAAACAGATCAACAAGCATCTCTTCTAGAAGTTTTTAGTGTGGCTCTGTATCGGCTGGCCACCTAAACTTAGCCGTTCGTCTAGTTGTGACGCGATATTAACGTCTGCAACGTAGACATCGGGACTTCGCCTCGAGTTAGCTCAACCTGCTCGAAGTCACCTGCAAGCACTAGCCTCCCGGAGCCACCAGCGTTGCAACACCGCCGACATCGCAGTCGTGCCAGAACTCTCTTCGACTTCTCGCTTCCGATCGTCGGGGACGCAACGCTGCCGGTCATCACACGTATGCCTCCACCTGTTTATATCTTCGAACTTTCTCCTCTGTAGTTCTGTTGTGTTAGTTTGTGTAGTTTGTAATAGTTCTCTCTCGTAAGCTGATTTATTGTTTCTGTTATATATTTCTTTAGTTGTCTCAAGTGTCGATGTATTTTGTTAGTTGTATTGAAGTGTTGTATTGGATCCCGTGTGCTGCAATATCACTAGAGTAAAGTTTGTTTTGTTTTCCCACGTCTCTGATCTCTTCACTGTCTCTGCTTGCGTACGGAACGAACCAACCTACTGTCATTCCCGTCGCCGACTTCGCGCTGGCGACGCTAGAGTGGCAGCTTGTAACACCTACATAGCACGGTTTAAGTACGAGGCATATTCCGACTTTGCAAAAAGTTTACCCAAAACACGTGTCGTGATGATAGCGGGATGTGCCTTTCCTGAGGGTGTTCTGAACGCTATTCAAAGCTAAAAAAGTACAATACTGCATGCTGGGGCCACTCAGAAAAGCGTGCTGCAAGACACAAAAAGGGAATTTTTTCAGTGAAGTACGCTTACGCATCACCCGAACAACACTCAAACAAGATTCTGCGCGGATACGAGTTTTGATTTCTAGTTAGGGCAATAATTTATTATTGAAATCTCGTTAAACGTGCCAAACTGTTACAAAATCCAGACGTCGACAGAATCGCGAACTTATACACCGACGCAGTTTCAAGACCTCATGTTGATATTGCTACGTACCAGTGCAACAATGGCTGATAACCCAACGCACCGTAAAACTTCACCCACTCATTCACACCGCCACAAATAATTTATTTCATTCGTACAATCTCCTCCGCTGTAAAAAACGCGTACGTTTGTTTAGCGCATGCCATACGTTGCACCCTTTTTCATAGATAGTTTTTGCTTTAATCCTGTACGTTAGAAACTTGAGGACACATCTGGCACTCGGGCCTTGTGTTATGTAGGAGTCCTTTACACGAAGATCGTAAATGGGACGGCCATCTGGAAAAGAACGTAACTGAAGAAATAAGAGTCGCCTTTTTTAAACTCATCACTTCATGATAGTCATCATGAAAATTCATTAGTAAAATTTATTTAAAATGGCTTCTTAGAGCTTGCGTTCAGTACTAGAAAAAGACAGAGAGAAAGAAGGAAGGCAGGAGGCAGACAAACGGAGAAGGCAGGGAAGTTAACCAGAAAGACACCCGGTTGGCTACCCTACCCTGGGAGATCAGGGAAGGGGACAAGATAGATGAAAAAGAGGAAAAATGAGGAAAAGAAAAGGGAGAGACGTACAGTAAGTTCAGTGCTGGCTGTAGAACTTCACCGCAAGTCAGAGGCGCCAACAGAAACCCGTCATCCTCAAAAAGTAGAGCAGGGCTTTCAGCAAAAGAAAGGCAGGGAGGTTAATCAGGTCACACCTGGTTGGCTACCTTAAACTGGAGAGCGGACAAATGGTTGCTCATTAGAATAAAAATGCGTTGATTGATATGTGGAGTGTAACGTTCGAAAACCAACATATGATTAGGAGAGACGCCGTAGTGAAGGTCTCCGGAAATTTTGACCACCTAGGGTTCTTTAACGTGCGCTCAAATTGCAGCAATTGTTATGTAAGTTTTAACGTCCCAAAATTACCATATGACTATGAGAGCCGCCGTAGTGGAGGGCTCGAAAATTTCGACAACCTCGGGTTCTTTAACGTACTTCCAAATCTGAGGACATGGGCCTACATCGCCTCCATCGAAAATGCAGCCACCGCAGCTGGGATTCAATCTAGCGACCTGCGGGTCAGCAGCCGAGTACCTCAGCCACAAGACCGCCATGGTGGGGCATTATCAGAATGCGGCGAAGCCTGACAGGTGAATGATGCTTAATCACGCGATCATATTCTACTCTTGAAGGCAGTCCTCAGCACTTGTTAACCTTTCTGATATGTGAGAAATTGAAATTGATAACCGCAATAGTCACGTCCACTTAGCAGAATTTCGGTGATTTCTTTTCAACTTCATGTTTTGTTTCAGAACCCCGACAACTATAAAAACTTCATGTAGATTCAGGCCATTGTTTCGTTGCAATAACTCACCCCTTGAGAGCGCACGTGGCAGTTGAAGTTCAATCAATGAAGGAAATTATTTCTTATTTCATTAATGATTATATGTCTCACTTTCTGTTTATAGTAGTCGCCTCTACATTTCACACGTAATGTGATATTGTCGCAAAGAAAATATTAAAATAATCATGAAGAAAGCCTCTGGCAAGGCTCTGGGCTTACCTTAAATATTATCAGGCTCATAGCACTTACATCAAGTCTAGTAAAACTCTTTGAAAGAGTTTTTAAAAGTCGTGCACATGGCTGGATGTCAGAGAAAATGAGACTGAGCGCATGCCAAATTGGATTCACTTGTTGTTTCTCCGCTTGGGGTGCGCACACTCATCTCAAAAGTAGAATTCAGCTTGCTCGATACCAGAAACAACATTCCGCTTTGGTAACTTTTGATATTATGAAAGCTTATGACAGTGCGGAGCAAGTTAAACTGCTAGATTAGCTTCAGAACTTACGACGGCCTCAGTGCCTCAATGATTGCAAATAAAAACATAAACGCACCTCCTGTACTCGTCTTCACTCGAAATATGGCGCAGCCGCCATTTTTACCATAGTAAAGCATAATCTCCATCTGTTCGAAATGGTTAGCTGAAACAAAGGGGAAGATAATTCATGACCACAATTTCGCAAGCATGATATCTTTTAGCTGGTGAGCTGGCAAACCACACTGCTCTGACAATGGCCAAAGGTTGGTGCGTTTATTGCTATTATAGCCGAAGCAGCACCCAAAGCGAAGGTCTGCCTTACCATCACCGTCCAATTCAGTGGACCATCCGAACGCTCGAAGTAGATGTTGCTGCTCTAACACGCGCAGCTGCAAGTGCGAATTGCAGCCAGTGAAGCGGAGTTCAGCAAAAGAGGCGGTGACTCAGCGTCATCCTTTTCTTCACGCCTCCAGTAAAGGTATCACGTAACATCACGTAAAAACACTCACGAGCCTTCAATTCACATAACATTCCGTACCTACTCTCGTTGCTAAAAATCCGTGAGGTTACAAAACATACCAATTTCACAACACGTAACAGCTAGTAACGTGACATGTTCCCTTCAAAACCACAGGGCATGTGCGTAGCGTGGGATAGTTAACCGAAGCAAGAGTTGAATAGCCAAGTCAAGCCATAATTAGTACTATGCGCAAAAATATTGCATCTGCAGCAAAAGCTGGACATAGGCAAAACTTAGGCAGGTTATACACTTGCTACACTGATCGTCGCAGCTTTTGGCCACGTGTCCAGGCGCCGCGCTTTTTTATACAGTACCAAATGGACAGGATGCTCGGTACTTCGGCTTCGTTTCCCAGCTTTCGAAAGCATAATGCCGTGAACTGGGCAAGAAGTACAATCGAACACCACCGATGATGAACCGAGACCTCCGAAGAAGGCGGATGATCGACGCAATCAGCGCGATGGTGCTGAGAAAGAAACGAACAACAAACCACGTCATCAGGGGCCCTTCGACTCACGACTTGATGGCGTTGAAGGACTAGGACTGAAACGTGCTACTGGGTGAACTCCGGTCATTAGGAATATTAACCAAGTGAGCACTCGTACACAGACGGAATCAATGTCCATTGGTGAACTTGCCGATCATATTAACATATTGAAGATAAGCCTATCTACGATAAGAAAGACGACGCTTACCGACGTCGGCGATGAAATAGAAGCGCATGTTCTGGATGATAACCTTGAGCACACAATTCAAAACGACTTACAATCTCTATATACCGTCGTCCTCGTGAAGTCTTAAACTCGACGCATTTTATCCGTGCCTCAAGAAGTATCTGCGCACGCGTCTCAGCAACGCAGATAAGCTACTAAAGCTCGATGAAGCCAACTTTCATCGTGACCCCATTAAAGGGCATCAATTTTAGTGAGCTATTCATCGGATCTGACATCTCTCAGAGGTAGAGAAATTCATATATCTCATGAGATACCCAGCGAGTAAAGCGCTAGGCGTCATGAGAGCCTGGCCACAACAAACGAATGCTATAGCATAGATATAGACCTTCTCATAGACAGATGCTGTCATCAGTCACTGATTGCTAATAACTACATGCCCCTGCTAATGAACCTACCTAAAGTCCACTCGTTGCGAGCATTTCAAAAAAGCTCAAAGGTCATATCAAGAAGTGGAAATACGGGTGAGATACCATCATGAGCTTTGCAATCAAGAGCATAGAACGATACTGAAAACGGTAACAATGCAGATGTTGTTTTACAAGAACATTGTCTAGTAGAAAATAAGTGCTTCAAGATTAAAAACTACCGCACATTTCCTTTAGAGCCCTTAACTCAGGGTGGTTGTTTGGCAATATTTATAGAATTTAAAATCGCTCATAGAGCAAAGGTTATATATCAGACAATGACTTCAGAAAGGGTGCTTTAAGCATTACAAATGGCGATTCCTGGGCTCCTCTCATTCTCGCTATTTTCCCGCAGGTGTTCAGAATTATGCCCTTCTACATATTGTAGTTTCATATTGCTGAAGACATGTTATATTTGTGGGCGATTTCTATCGTGATCATATTTTGTGCGGTTTAGAACTGATTTCAATGGCGAGCGTCTGTGGGACTGAGTAAATAAGATTACCTATGCGTAAACACAGGAACTCCGATTTTTATGTGTAAACAGTCCTATTCGGTGCTTGATCTGACTTGTTCTAGTGCTAACATTTCCATTTCATCATGGTCTGCGACTAACTCTGGCACGAGCAGCGACCATATGCCTACATTATTTTAGATAATTTGTCCAGTAAGTTCTACGATTAGACCATCATTTACGCATGTAAATTTCAGTACATTTGATAGATTCCTACGAGGCACTGTATCTAACCGAATAAATGATAGGGAATCAGACTCCATCAGTTTAAGTGTCATTTTAAAAGACTCGTTGAATTGAATATGTCCAAGTTCACCATGGTAACCACAAAAACTTCTACCAGCTTTTGGTGGAATGCGATCTGTACACGGGTTTATAGGCTAAAAAAAGCTGCAAGGAAAAAATGGTTTCCAACCAGCGTCCTCGCAGCTGGAGTGACTACAAGTATGCATAGGTCATCAATACTTGTGGAGCTCACTCAGACTCACTCAATAACTATATTTTTAGCTTTCTACTCACGCACACTCAGACTCAGGAAATGTTTTTGAGTCGGGCTCGCTCGCACTCGCACTCACGAAAGTTTTCTTCAGCCGGGCTCATTCAGACTCCAACTCACGAAAACACAACTCACCTGTACTCACTCAGACTCAGGCTCACGGCTTGATTTGAGTCTGAGCGAGTCCGGGAGAGTCGACTCTTGAGCTTAGAGTCGGCTTCTCCGACCATGGTGTCAATGCTCTTTATCACCTATATAACACGTAATCGGGGCTGTTTTTGGTGCCGCTATACATAAGAACTCGGTGCTTCCAAATCAGTCAGGTATTTTTGGCGGAAAGATGACAACATAATATATATTAATCCAGATATTTCCTCTAAGAGTCGGTGGGGAAGCTCAAGGCCAACCCCTTACGTAATTCGCGCCTCTAATAAGAAATATTCAAACGGTGCATAAAAGACACCGTTTGGAATACCTGTGAGCAAGCATGAGTATAAACGTGAATTCAATTAAGGCTCATAGTAACGCTCAAGGTGACTAAATAGGGCCTTAAGCCAGCAAAAGAAAGTGGAACTCACTCAGACTGACTAAAGAGAATTTTATTATTATATGCTATATAAAGAGATGTTGGCTCACAAGTATGTCACCGGATACTCCTTAGCCCTTGAGTGAAAGTTTAAAACGTATCTTAAAGGAAAACAAACAAAGCTGTGCATGAAATTAGAACACTCGAGTACACATATGCAAAAAAGCACACGCACATATCGCAACACAATGATAAAGAAATGTTCAAAAGTCAACGAATGAAGTCTCTCACAATGTCCCTCGTTGATATTCTGTCCTACCAGCACAAAACAGCAGAGCACGCGTCTGGTACTTATGAAGATGTAGTCGCTCGTATGTACAAAGCAGTCGACACATCATTCACTTCAGCACACATATATGATGAGTGTTATATAATACTGCACATAATAAGTACATATGTCATAAAAATGAAAGTTCATTATTCACTAGTACTTCTCAGCAATTCCGCTGTCTTGTAAGAAACATGTTAACGTTTTTAAAGCGTGCGCCTGTAAAACTTCAGTTGGCCACGGACCCAGAAGTTTCTTCGTGCTATATGGTCTCCGGTCTAATGCCAATAGTTCCAATTTGAGACGGTGTCTCGGCGTGTCATGATGTGGGCAGTCTATAAGTTGGTGACATGCGTCTTCATCTATAAATGCACATTCGCATTTGGGAGTTTCAGCTCTGCCAATTCTGTGCGAAAATGTTTTCTGTATGCGGTGCCTAGCCTCAACCGGTGAATAAGAGTTTACACACTTCTATCTAATGCAAGCGTAATATCGAATTCCAATGAATAGATTAATGTGATATAAATCACAGCTCTTTGTACTTTGGTCAAACCAAGCAGTTTTGCTCATTCTGAAAGTTGTAGCCTTTATAATGCAACGCAATTCATTATTCGAAATTGGTAAACAAACAGTAACATGTTTACGATGTGCCTGCCGTGCCGCTTCATCGGCAGCTGTTTTTCTAGGAATGTAGCAATGGACAGGTATCCACTGGAATTTATTCTCATGTTGCGCCTTGCTTGCTTTGGTGACCACTTTCAGCGTTTTGTATGTCATACTATCACAAATTTTTGTCGTGTTTGTACTGGAGAGTGATCTTAATGTGACCTGTGAATCGATAAAAAGTACTCATCTTCTCGTGTATGCTGCCGAGTTTTGAAACTTTATAGCATACAAAATAGCAAAAAGCTCAGCGGTAGTAGATGACGCCTTGCGACATAATTTAAATATTTTTGAATATTGAACTGTGGTATAATAAATGACGATGTTTAAAACGTTGTAGTACTTGAGCCATCTGTGTAAACGTGTATGTACCCTGGGTACCGAATCTGCATCTAATAAAGCGCTAGTTATTGAGCAGCTTGTATGAACATGTTTCTCTCTCTGATACTGCCATCTACGCAGAATTCAATGCTTGGTATTGCAAGCAGCCATGTAGGATAGACCACTTCAGAGCTCCTGAATTATTTTCTGCGTAATATATATAGATTACTATGTATTTCTTCAAGAGAATTGCTTTTATCCCTTCCTAAAATATCTAGTGCCAATGGATAGTGCTTGTGTTGCGTCTGTAAGCGAAAAAAATAGCGGCATGTTTCGATTGTTCTCATGACTGGAAAGGGTGGTTGTCGAGCTTCTGCTATGACAAGCTTGCTGGAAGTCACTCGTAGAACACGTAGGCAGATGCGCAGTGCCCTAGCTAATAGTCTTTGAAGTCACTCCTCTGAAGTGCGGGAAATGCCGTGTAAGACTGTTGCAGAATATGCAACTTTTTGTCGTATTAAAGCATTGTGAACAGCGAGCATGGATGATACAGATCCGCCACATGATGTCCCAGCGATTCTGCGGAGTTTATTCCCTAAAAAATTCACCTCGTTTTCGAGTTCCTTTATGTGAGATGTCCAAGAATTACTCCGAGAAACCAATGCTGTGTCGCAGTCATCAGTGGTTTTCGTTCTAAATTGAGATTGAAGTTTTTTAATTTCTTACGGGTGAAGGGCAATGCAGCTGGCTTTGCGTACAACAAAATCATTTCTTTTTCTTTTAAATATCGGTTAATATTATTTATGCCGTCTTGCAATGCAATTTAAATTACCCGAACGTCCGTGCCAGATGCCCAAATGCACACATCATCTGCACATAAGGAGTATTTCAACCTAGAAGGACAGTCTTTTTGCTAAATCAGTCACAACGCAGCTGAGAGGGAAAGGGCTGAGCACGCTTCCTTGTGGAACTCCCTGTCGGACGTCGTGTTCTGCACTTTTCCCTTCGCTCGTCTGAATGAATATATTGTGACCTGATGAAAATTTAGAGATCCACCGCAAAGACCTGCCGGACAGTCCGAGTTCCAACATACTCAGCACAACATGAGTGTAACTGACTCTGTCAAATGCCCTTTTGATGTCCAAGAACACTGCGACCGTCAAACTACCACAGGCGCGTTCATGCTCCACATACGTTGCTATGTACAGTATTGCACCCATTGTGCATTTCTGTTTCCTAAAACATGTTAAGTAGTGGGAGAATACACCAGTTCTATTGCACCACCACTGCAGGCGCACAATAATCATTTGTTTCATTACCTTACATAGACAGCTTGTCAGAGTGATTGGGCGGAAGGATTCAAGGCTCAAGGGCGCCTTAGCCGGTTTTAAGATCGGAATGATGACAGATAACTTCCAAGAAAGATATTTTGCACTTTGGACTCACTCGGACACAGGCCCACCCAAATTTTCCTGGAGCGTACTCACTTGGACTAACACTCACGAAATTTTTTGAACTGGCCTCATTCGGCCACAGGCTCGCAAAATTAATACTCACCTGGACTTACTCAAACTCACAGCTTGGTTTGAGTCTGAGTGAGTCCGAGTGAGTTGACCCAGGAGTAAGTTCGCCGACCTATGCAACTATGCGAACGCTTTTTTTAAAAGAACTATTGCTAATGCGGAAGACAAATTTGACAATGAACAATCTGACTTCCTTTCAGAGACAGTCAATAAAGAAGCATTATTACCCTTTCTGAGAGAGACAGAGAGAGAGAGAGAGCTTTATTTAAGAGAACCAAGAAAGTTCTTCCAGTACTGAAAAACGTAGAACCTGTAGAATCAACACTAGGTGAATGAAGGGTTTTCTGGAAGATGTAGCTCAGGGCCTCAAAAATGTCTTCACGACTATTTCACTATACCAACTCCAGTCCCTCTCTAGAGGTGATGGTTCTGCATAAGCGACAGCTGCAGAAATGTAGTACAAACGCTACCCCATTCCGTCTGCTCTTGATGGCATGACGATGTTAATAAAATCAGTTCGTAACTTACCCCCTTGGCTTACTCGAAATCGTTCATCACTTAATTAAAAGTTCGTGAATCTCACCCAATTGCCAAATCGCCAAAGATATTACATTATTAAAAAAGCAAGCCACATGAGTTTACCCTAAATATCATCAGGCCGATAGCACTTACATCAAATGTAGTAAAACGCTTAAAGAGTTTTTAAAAGTCGTGTAGATGGCTGAATGTCGGAGAAACTGAGACGAAGCCCATGTCACATTTTATTCACACGTGGTTTCTCCGCTTGGGGCGCTCTCGTTCATCACAAAAGTAAAATTCAGCTTGCTCAATACCCGAAACGATATTCCACTTTGGTAACATTATATATCACGAAAGCTTGTGACAATGTTGAGCAAGTGGAACTGTTAGATTCGCTTCACAACTTAAGACTTTCTCAATACTTTGGGCCTTCGGTTTATGTTTTCCTAATTATAGAGAATTTCACTGCTTGCAGTCTGGTGTTATTTTTTTCAAAATACAGGCACACGAGGGGTATACCGCAAGGGTCAGTATTATTACCTTTATTATATATTGTACTTCTATGCATTATTCCCATACAGCAGGATGTACAGGTCTATGTGTATGTCGATGACCACATTTTTTGCTGAATCGGTGGGCAGTCACACAATTTACCTAATTCTGCGGGCATATATGAATAACCTGAAAATGTGGCTGGAGGGTATTAACTTATCACTCAACGTCGTGGAAAGCGCAATTGTAGATTTTGCGAAAATTGCCCCGGTACGAATTTCATTAATGTGCTGACAACATATCATACCTCCGGTCGAGTTACTTAGGTACTTGGGGTAACCTACATCGAAACACTTAACTTGAGTCCCCACATAGAAAACATGGCTGCTAAAGGAGCACGTGCCATAGGGATGCTGCGCAGGCTCAGTAATTATCGTGCTGGTTTGCGTAAAGACTTGCTCGTAATGGTTTTTTGCATGTAGATTCGGCTCATGTTATAATTCGGCTGCGTTTTGTTTTTTAGCGCCCCGGCCTATAAAGTTATACTATTGGTTTTCTCAGAAAATGAATCGTTACGCTTATGTCTGGGGCTACCTAAATGGGTTGCGAAGAATATTTTATATGAAAAATTACGCTTTCCTTTTATCAGACAAAAGCTTTATCAAAAAATTTCTATTTTAATAGTACGAATATTTCTAAAACACTCGGCATCACCTCAGAGGAGGTCACGTATGTGCTCACTAACAAGCAGACCTCATTTTTTAACCACAAATGGTCTGGATTAAGGTGCGCCCAAGTTATTCTTACACAATCTTTTGGACCCTCTATAACTTAACTTTGAGAAGGACTTGTACTCAACACTGTAAAGCAATTAGGATTGATTTTGTTTGTTTACATCCCCAGAACGGCAAAAAATTACCATATCAATATCTAAATGGCATTTTTGAAGATGATCGGGTTATTATGGGTACAAACATTGTGATAGCAACTGATGCTTTGGTTTGTGAAGAGAAGGCAGGTGTAAGAATAGTATCATCTTCTCTTAATCAGGCTTTCTCAATTCGGTTACACGACTTTACCTCTATTTACCAAGCTAAACTAGTGGCAACAGTTATAGCAATGCGTAAATTGCCCCAGTTTCTATCAGTGGTGGTAAGAACGCACACGCACAATCAGGTATTCTTAACATACCTGCATGTCGAAGCGCCATTCGGTCCGTCATCTTCGCAAAAAAACGTCCTTCGAAGGCAATATGTACACTATAGGAGCACAAGAAAAATAAAAGGAGTTCTCTGTTCATCTGCACAATAGGCAAAATATTCAGTCGAGCCATCTCCGCGAGGGTGCCAAAGTAACACTGCGAGGGTTGTCTTTCGCTGCCTGCCTAAAAACTTTGGCGGCATAGCTGCAGCTACCAGCGGAAAAGCGCCGTCAATTGGTTTCTTCGACCTACTTTGCCTTATCTTTCTCACAACAATTTCGAGCGACTACGATAGATGCTTGACTGGTGATTGTTATTTATGCCTCTGCATAATATATGTAATGCGCTGACGAACTCCAAACAAGCATGGCGTGACCCCGGTGTACAATATTCTCCGACTATACTGTATGCCTAGTGCCGAATCCTTGTAGAAGTGCTATTCTAGACAAACCAGCCTTTTTTTTCGAGTGGGCTTATTTGACTGCTTAGTACGTTCATTCTCTTAAACGTATTGGCGGGCAAGTTGGTAATACTCTACAGTATATGGCAGCGCACACCCGGTTGCACAAAGAACATGCACACAAGCGCTTGCGTTGTCCCTATGTGCGCGCGTTATTTGTGTAACCTGGTGTCCCGCTGTCAGTATGTGATAGTGTTTATCTAGTTCCCTGTCCCCAGGCATTTGTCTTCAAGCTTTACCGAAACACCATGTTGAGACCGCATTTCAGCTCAGCATGGCCAAAGAGGGTAGACGTAACTGAAGAATGCACAACCTTTTTTTTGTGTCTTACCTTTCATGCCCTAAGTAAAACCGCCGATCAAAGAAGAGTGATGTGGTTGTCGCATATTTCTTTATGTCCACTTTGCACTCAATATATCTTCTGTCGTTCGTATCATACGTCCAAATATTTTCTGATGTATTAACGAACTGGAAAGGTGTAAACAGTTGCTATATTCATCACCAGACATTGCTACTATTCTTAGTACGTTCTCGATGCCGCCATGGTGAGACTGTTTTCTGCCAAAGCTAATGCTCTTACTGCTTTGTCAATGAAGGATCAGAAAACATATTCACCTGGTAGCTTTCATTCACTTCATTTTTGCAGCATGAAGTAATCCTGTGTAAGGTTAGACACTTTCTCTAATCCCGGCTTGCATCTGCTTCCCTATCCTGAATTCACATGGATAGAAATCTACAAAGGATGCGGGATGTGGTAGCTCCTAGGGCTTCTGCAATCTGATTCTGGAGCTGGAGACTGTAAAATGCACCAGTCATTTGGCCCCACGTCGGCACTTCAGGCTCGCTGTCGACTGTGGGTGCATCCAAAGTGTACGGTCACATGAACGTGCTTAAAGATGCCGAAACATTGAGATACACCCGCACAGTAAAAATCATCATCTTCAGCCGTCTGATTACGTCCACTAGCAAGACAAAGGCATCTATCAAGTTCCGCCAGTCAACTCGCATTTGTGCTTGCTGCTGCCAATTTATACCCGCAAACTTCTTAATCTCATCTGCCCGCACAACTTTTTGTCTGACCCTCACCAGCTTGCCTTCTCTGGGATTCTAGTCACTTACTCTTAATGATCAGTGGTTATCCTGCCTACGAGTTACGTGCCCGGCCCATGTTCATTTTTTGTTCTTAATTTCAGTCATGATAGTCTAGACCCTCGTTTGTTTTCCCTCACCCACTCTGCTCTCTTCTTGTCTCTTACAGTTTTCCTTCATTTTCGTTTCCGACCAATCGCTGCGTCATCCTCATTTTAACGTAAATCCTTTCTGTAAGCTCCCAGTTTTCTGCTCCGTAGGTACATACCAACAAGATGAAGCTATTATATACCTTCTTCTTGAAGAATAGGGGCAATCTGCCAGTCATGATATTAAAAAGCTTGTTGAATGTGCTTCAACCCAGTCTTCTCCTTCTAATTACTTCAATCTGGTGGATCGGCTCCACGGTTACTACCTGCCCTAAGTAGACGTACTATTTTATAACTTCAAGTGCACTGCTAGTTATATCGGAACGCGGTTCGCTTCCGAGATTATTGCACCCAATTTTCTTTTTCTGCAGATGAATTTTAAAATCTACCTTTATGCTCTCCTTGTCCAGTTTAGTAATCATGAATTGCAATTTCTCCCTTCAGATACTCCGCAATCAACTACCATCATAGCGCTTCATAAAAAATCATAAAAAAACAGCGGCAGAATATCAATAAAGAAGGGTGAAAGAGAACAGGAGACGATCTCGCCAATGCTATTTTCCGCGGGCTTACACAATGTTTTCAGAGGCCTAGAATGGGAAGAATTAGATATACGAGTTCATAGAGAGCACCTCAAAGTGGGAATGGTTAATTGCGAACCCAGTATATAACACATATTTTTAACGAATTATATAAGCGAATGCTTCGTGGTCTCTCACGAAATTTAAAGCTCTAAGCTGCGTTAGAAGTAGACTATTGCACTCTAAATTAGAGTATTGCGCAAAACCTAAAGTATTATAGATAACCTAATAAATTGACTGCTCAAAATGCAAGCATTCTGCCTAAGTGTTAGAGCACTTGGTGATAATTCACGGTCAAACTTCGAGAAACAATACAGTTGGGCCAGAGGTTTGACTTCTGTGAAAACGTTAGCAGTATGTATTCCTTGAGCAATAATAATGATTTGTGTCATGTTCTGAACAATGCGATTCCAGCGGCAGTGAGTGGGATTATGCAACGAGGAATAGCGGCATAACTTACTTCTTATTATCAGGTCATTCGCTTGAAATTTACAATAATCGAAGCGAACTTACTTTTACCTATCAAGACATTTATCCTATACGCACAACAAAATAGGCTCACGATAATCATGGTCGTGGCACATAGATCACTTGCACAGGCAATGATAGATACCTTGCTTCAGTGCCTGCAGGCAAGACTACAACGAAGGTTCACTGTGAAGCATCCACATTTCTCACATGTTTACGCTCCAATATTGCACACCTACTACTCTCACACAAATTATAATACTGTGCATAAAAATGACAATGCTGATTTTCAATGTATATGAAAATCATAATAAACATAAGAGTCTCTAAAAAGGATTACTAAGACATGAATTATCCTAATAAATGTTCTGTTTCAGTAAAATAAATCACAGTGTCAAAATATCGATGGTTCATAAATCTATATTACCTTTGCTATATTCCATGTCTTCGATAGGTGTACGGGCCATATACATTCCACCACCATTGAAGAGGCAACAAATAGGAACGGTTGTCGAAAGCTTTGCACTCATCTTGCTTATTCCGAAATCCTCCGATAACTATAGTCTAGAGGGCAAACACAAACAGTAGAGTTTGCGAAGCGCATACATCCGTCCACTTTGAGTGCCTATCAACTATTAGTTTATATAGCGAACAATGTAGAACGATTTATACAATAGGCAATCAGCACGAGAGCCTTAAGTATATACTGTTCCTTTTTGTTATGCAGTGTTGTGAAGCAATTTGCCATCAGCGATTCACACGATCGGAGTTGTTTCAGCTGTGGGTAAAATTCAACGGGTAACTGAAGAATCTGAGTGAAAAGATATTCATTAAACAAGCCATCTCGCGCTTAAGAGGTGTGCGCACGAAGGACAAAGTTTTATGCCACTCATGGTCCCCAATGAATAATAAAAGAAACTTCAAGCGATTGTACAAGCCTTCGCTTTGGTCTCTGGCTTTCCAGGAGTACAGGTCGGCAGAAAAATTCGAATTTGACGTCAGAGGTCTTTCGCTGCAACTATCGTCAAAACAGTGCCTGGTCCTACATTTCACACAATAACGAGACAGGTCCTACTAGGTGAAAATGTTGGACCAAAATAACCGTTGCCACTCAAAGGTATCGGAGACGCGGGGATCAAAAAAACAAAACACCACTTGAGGACGTTACCATTGGTCATGTCTTCATTTCTTCCCAGATTCCCAACCTTTGTGGTGTCACCCTTGGAGTTTCCTGTATATTCTTTAGAGGGACCTCTGGCACTAGTGTCTATGGGAGCTGCAACGCACGGCACTCTAACAAGCATGGTAAGTACACGAATTTGTCTAATCTTCATACTTCTGGCTCTGTGCGTGCTTGTGTGGCTTGGAACTGTTCTGTCACGAAACAAGTATAATCGAATGTTCAGTGGTTGCAGCTTCAGTAGCGTAATCATTCGGCTTATCATTTCAAATTGGGTCACGAAGTTCAAAATGGTTCATTCTTTCCTTCAAACCGAAACCGAAACGCAGGAACACACGAAGCCACAAGTTCGATTCACGTCCCGCAAGTACGAAGACTATGAGCAAATGCGTGTACTATTTATCATTCCCATGATCGCTGAATAATCGCAGCGCCAAAGTCCCCTCTAGTCTTTTTAAGGAAACTCTGTGGCTGAACTATGACGTCACTCTTAACATGACGCCACACGATGACTTCATCGGATGACATCTTGTCCTTTGTAAAATATCGTTGGCGCAAACTTCAAAGCAGACAAAAGAACAGACTCGGAAGAGCGCACAGTGCGCTTTTCGGAGTCTCTTCTCTCGTCTTCTTTCAAGTTTGCGCCAAGGATGTTTTACACAGCTATACGCTTACTAGCCCGACAGTATGCGTTGCTGAGACCTCTTATTCGTCTCTAAGAGTGGGTCGATTGCGCACGCCGTGCAATACTAGGTGAGGTATCTCCACTCATTGAAACAGTGCAAAACCAAAAACATTCCGGGGGTCAATACATCGACTAAGAAAAAAAAAACATGGTTGACCTCTTCATCTGAGAAATCGGTATACCACGTAAGTAAAGTCTCCTATCAGAAGTAGTTTAGCGCTTACTAAGCATTGATAGAAGAGAGCTTACACAATGTCGGTTCGTGTTGTACAGCTGAATTTAAGCACAGCTTTTTGCAAGCGCATCAACGTTAACGCTTAACAATACATCTCCATCCCGACATCTAACGTCCATGGTTATTTATCGATTAATGATGAAACATGCCCTTGTGGTCATGGATGTCTCTGGTATAGTTAACGGTGAGAAACCGGTGTGACAGACAAAAGGGCACGACTGATTTGACGCCAAACTTGGGCTTAAGTCACCTACTCGCAGCATGTCCGAGTTATTGAAAGCCACTGCCCGCTTGGAGAGAAACGCAACTCACGTTGTGTCCTCTCTTGGCCGGCCCATATTTTTCGCGCGGTGAGCCTAAGCGGGAAACGTGAAGTTACATCAAGCGCGTTGCTCTATGCGTTGCAGAGCTGTTGTCGGTATGGATGAATGTCATGAGCTACGTCTACACTTTGGGTAAGGCCGCCACCTGGAAGGCGTTGACAAAATGGCACTTTTTTGGGGCACCGAAAGGCACCGAGATGAACAGGTGCGTAGAAAGGCACCGAGAAAGGCACCGAAATGAGCGGGACGTGTAGAAATCACACGTCGAAAGAACTAATTGTGGATTCCGCGATCATGATGCACTATTAATCTTTACCTAGAGAACTGTGGAGGGAAGAGGAAGATATTTTTATATCTTCCTTAGAGCATATCCACGAAGTAAATGATGATGAGTGGGGCGAAACATCCTTTCGTCCGCCCATCCATTCGTCTGTCTGTCTGTCTGTCTGTCTGTCTGTCTGTCTGTCTGTCTGTCTGTCGGTCGGTTGGTCGGTCGGTCGGTCGGTCGGTCGGTCGGTCGGTCGGTCGGTCGGTCGGTCGGTCGGTCAGTTGGTCGGTCGGTCGGTCGTTCGGTTCGGTCCATTCGTCCGTTCGTCCACTCATGAATTACACGAAAACCACTAAGGCATCTATAGTGATATTATTTCCAATGAGATGTACACGCAACGCCATCTATTGGGCAATTCATAAACTAGATGTGGCTGCATACTACTACTACTACTACTACTACTACTACTACTACTAATACCACTACTACTACTACTACAACTACTACTACTACTACAAAGGAGCGAAACGATGCGCACCCTAAGGAGCTTCGCGCCTAAAAGGCGTGTTTTCTAAAGCCTACTAAGTATGTTGCCTTGGCGCGGTTCGTAGCGTGCCGGCAGCTGTTGTCGCGGACCAGAGAAATCATGGGTTTGACTGCCGTCCCGAAACTTTAAGGGCGAAGCTCATTTAGGCGTGGTCATGCGTCTCCTGTATGTAGCAGCCACCTCTCGTTTTAGTCCTTCGAGTGTCCGCTGGATGACGGTACTTGTAGGTACCGCATGATGCGTTTCTTTAACCATATAAGGGCTGAACAGAATGGCTGCTGCGATTCCACGCTTCGTGAACCATTCCTTCTAGTCTGGTACAAATGAAAGCAATAAACTCGTATGTCTACAGATCCGCAAAGTATATACAACCTCATGCATACCGAACTTTTTGTCGCATATTACAGACGCGAAATATTTGCGGATGCACGGACACTCAAAAAAAAAATAAAGTGGCTGCTGAATGAGCTGCACTGTCACAAATTTCAGTTTTATCAGTGAAGTGAAGCGATGTCAGCTAGGTTTTGGAAAGGGCTCATTCACATTAAGGCTTACTCGCATGCTTCCGGTACTGCGGCAATGAGCGTGAAACAGATCCGTAGGTTAGAAAATGAACTGACTCGGGGTTTAAAGCAAGCGCGCTGCACGAACATAGAATGCTCGCTGTAAGATCATGTGGCTCGTGGGCATGCGGGATGGAATACCTCCTCACCAAGAAACATTTCAAAGTGCAGTTCTTAGGCTCCCATTCCTGCGCTGAGCGGCGTCACTGTCGGTTCCGTAACTGATATACATAAAAAATATGCATTTATAAAGAAAAAAAAAACAAAAATGAATGGGACTGGAAACCAGCCTCTCTGCCTGGGCGCCGGACTTCAGCATATCGGCCGGGGGGGAAGGGGGCGGGACTCCCCCACTTTCAAAATTGGTCACGTGACTACACGTAGGGGAAACCAACAAGTAAGGCGTCTTTTTTCAACACAACAGTAATCACTCGATCATGTTCTCACGGGAAAATTAAATGGTTACGTGGCTAGGTTACAACAGGGAAATTTCGCCATTTCCGCTTTCCGCTGTGATGATTTTCCTTGTAGGTTTCTAAGTACACACACACACACACACACACACACCACACACACACACACACACATATATATATATATATATATATATATATATATATATATATATGTGACGTATCAAGTGATGGTTAGTAGAGGTAGAGAAGGAAGAAGTCAGAGAATGGAATAAACATGGGGTATGAGCCAGGCCACGTCACCCATTCATTATAAGCGTCACACGAGTCAACAGGATGAAGACTTGGCGGCCACTTCATCAACCAGCCACCATCTCCGAACGACTCAGCAAGACGCAGTGACCGAACGTGGACCACGAAAGTACATCCCAACTACACCAAGACCAGCATTATGACAGCACCATCAGACGACATTTCCATCCCCAAGTACTCCGGAGCAGCGGACGATGGACCTGTACAGGACTGGTTCAACCTGTTCGAACTCCACGCTACCACTGCATCTTGGTCGCAACGGGAGATGGTTACGAACTTCAGCGACTACGTCACCGGTGAGGCATTTAAATTTTACCTAATTCACATATTCGAGAACGACGAGTCATGGCAAAAAATCAAAGAGGAGATGATTACCCGTTTTAACGACTATGACCAAGACCTACTCATTGCCAACCATCTAGAGACAACCGCACACTATCGTCAATTTCCTAAGCAGTCCTCAACCATTCGAAAGCCCAGCGCGCATCGACAACTGCCTCAAGACGAAGTGGCACATGAGTTTACTTTCAGAAGACCATGTGCGTTTTGGGAAAAACCTAACCATCAAGCGCGCCTCCCTCCTGCACGAAAGCCGGCATTTCGAAAGTCCTCACTCCAGCCTATGACGCGAGACGTTGCCCACTGATCTGATGCTCTTAATTCTTCGTCTCGCATACGCGGTCCACCACGCGGTTTTCGATCATGCGGTTTTTCAAGCGCTCCTATCGCTCACCATTCGCCTCATAAGGACGCCGCGACCTCGGTAGACGACCTAACGCTTCACGAAAATACCCTGTCAAGCCATGCACTTTCCGGACATGTTTATTCATCAGCGTGCGGTGCACACACACTGGACAGTCGAAGCAAAGCAGAAGGCTCAGACGCACCGAACGTCGCAAGCTACCAGGCGCAAGAACCACTCGCAGTGAACTGCGAAGAAGCCCTTGAGGAGCATAATGATGGCACATACCAACTATGCCCGATAAGCAAGACACCAGCTCACCATGCATCAGCTGTCTACAGGACGCGTCAAACCTC